GCCCTCCCCGAGAGAGCCCCCAGATGAGGGCAGGGCCAGAGCCCAACGGGTGCAAGTCCCGGCTCCCCTGATTCAAAGCCTGACCGAGAAAGGAGACCTCGGTGTGAAGACAGCCGTCCCTGTACATGTCCCCTACATGTATCTGCCCTTACCCTTGACTTTTAAAAAATTATAATTATTAGCATATACTAATTGAGTAATAAAATAGTTCCTGTGACATTTCATGCATGCCACCAGTGGCTCCTACCCAGCTTCCCCTCCTGAGTATTTCAAATCATCTCTGCATCCCCAGTAACCCTGTACAGTGCAGAGGGTGTGAGTAGTTCGCCTGCTGTATTTTGGAGGGGAGGGGACCAGGAAAAATCCATACGTGCACATGTTTTCCCCCAGTTCATTTTTTTTTTTTTTTTTTTTTTTTTTTTGTCTTTTTGAGACAGGGTCTCGCTATGCAGTTCAGGCTGGCCTTGAGCTCACTTTGTAGCCCAGGCTGGTCTCGAACTCACAACGATCCTCCCACCTCAGCCTCCCGAGTGCTGGGATTACAGGCGTGAGCCAGACTTGATTTTTTGAAAAGGCTACGTTAGGGACAGATCTAGGGGAGCCCTGGGGTCCTGGACTGCATGGCCTGGTTTTACCTGGGGACAGCAGGCACCACGGAAATGCCGGCTCCATCCCAGCCCCTCCTGCGCACCACCGGCCTCCCGGGCACAACCGCAGTGGGATAGAGGGTCATTCTTTCCTGTTTGGGTCCTAAAGAAACAGGTCTGCTGTGGCCCGAACACTGTTTTTGAATTTTGTTTCTGTTTTTGTTTTTGAGACGGGGTCTCCATATGCAGATCAGGCTTGCTTTGAGCTCACTTTGTAGCCCAGGCTGGTCTCAAACTCAGAGCGATCCTCCAGCCTCAGCCTCCCGAGTGCTGGGATGACAGGTGTGAGCCACCCCGCCTGGCTTCCCCAAGATATTTTCAATTCCCAGTTGGTTGAAGCTGTGACTCCCGGATGCTCACCCGTGATTCCAGGTGTCCCCACACTGGCGTGTCCCCCTTGGGGGCTTAGCATCTTCACCGGCTCGTGCGCCTGTTCTAGGACCTCGACTCCAGAACATTCTCACCGCCCAGGACTGAAGCTCAGTGCCCACCGGCCGTCGCCCCTTCCTTCCTCTCCCTCTGCTTCTCCAAGCTGCTCAGTGCCTTCTGCCCCATGTCCCTGCCTGGGACGTTACCCTGTCAGTGGCCTCATGTGGCGAGCGGCCTTTGGTGATCGGCTTCTTTCACTCAGTGCGATGCTCCTGACGCTTGTCCACGTCATAGAGGGTATCCTGACTCAGTTTCTCTTTTGTGGCCCCATAAACCATCATCCTGGATCCTGTACTTGACTCATCCACTCAGTTTATGGGTACTGGGGTTCTTTCTCCCCTGCGACCCTTTGGGTCACGCTGCAGTGGACATTTGTGTCTGGCCCTTGCTTGGGTGGACAGCTATTCCCTGGTTCTGCACCTCGGAATGTGATTCACTGGGCAAAAGGGCACGTGATGTTCCATCCAGAGGAGCCGCCAGCCTCCGCTAAAAAACAAATGATCTGAATATTCTGCACCAAAGTTGGAAGAATAGAAGGTGAAACTCCCTCAAAATAAAAGGACAGAAACAATAAACATAAGGCAAATACTGACCAAGTAGAAAACAAAAGTCAGTAACATAGTAATTTTTAAAAAGGGCTGGGGAGCCAGGCATGGTGGTGCATGCCTGTGACGCCATCACTCTGGAAGCTGAGGCAGGAGGATCGCTGTGAGTTCCAGGTCAGCCTGAGCACATAGTGAGACCCTGTCTCAAGAAAGAAAAAAATCTATGTGACACTGTATCTTTTAAAAACATGGACCCATATTTTAAGTCTTTCCACAAAACCTTTGGGCTCAAGTTACTGATTTCTTTTTCAACATTAGAGAAATATAATAGCAGCAGAAGAAAGAGCATTTGTTAGCAAACAAGTTTTGGTGATTGTATGTGGAAGTTCACATGTCAGGATCAAACTGAGCTGATTTCAGGGACGTGCAGTTACCATTCAAAATTCAAATTCATAACTTACCACATTATCAAAATAAGGAAAATCATATGATCATCGCAATATTTAAAAATGTTTGAGAACCAGCTCTGGTGCACACCATCGGTGAAGTAGTAACAGGGAAAAACTGATGTTACAACAGGCACAAGAAGCCTGCCGCAAACACTGCAGGGCCCAGACACTCAGTGAGCGTGCGGGGGAAATGTGCGGGAGGCCAAAGCCGGAAACAGACATTACTCACGGGCTGACGGCTGGATGTGCAGAAGCAGACATTTACCTGCACCAATCAGCTGCTGAGGCTAATAATGAATTTAGAAGCTTCCTGAATGTCAGGCCAGTGTTAAAAGCCCTATGTGCATACCTAGTACCATTCGAAAATGAAATTTAAAACTGTGTGTGTGTGTGTTTTCCAAGAACACACCTGCAGCACTGGAGAGGCTGAGGCAGGGGTGGTCAGGCAGAGGCCAGCGTGGGCTCTGTTGCTCCTGGCCTTCCGGTCCTGTGTGATTTGTCCCTCTGCTCTGTGCTTGCCCGGTCCCCCCGACTTTAGCACCCACCGGGCACTGGTGCCCTCCTGGGGGGGTTTCCCCAGCCACACCCCGCTCTTTTGTCCTCCGGGATGACCTGAGGAGCCAACATACAGTTATCAAAAAGACAAAGACATTTTCAAGAGACGATCTTATTGGAATTGTGCATTAATTTAGGGATGCGTGCGTTTTCTCTTTCTTTTCTGGTTAGTTTTGTTGGCAATTTTTATTTTCTTCCCGGATTTTCCTCCATGAAGTCTAAACTTTCGTTTCTATCGGCATGAGTCCCTGTAATAGTCTTTTACAGGTATATATGTTACATTTCTGCCAGTTCGGCAGTTTTGTCCTTGTGGTATTGTTTATTTTCTTTTATTTCTGTTTTTTTTTTTTTTTTTTTTTTTTTGTCTTTTTGAGACAGGGTCTCGCTATGCAGTTCAGGCTGGCCTTAGCTCACTGTGTAGCCCAGGCTGGTCTTGAATTTGCAATGATCCTCCTGCCTCAGCCTCCCGAGTGCTGGGATTACAGGTGCACACCTCCACACTCAGCTTCTTAGAGGTTTTAAACTTTTCGGGTGAAAATTCCTTTTTATCACTAATTCTAGTGTTATTGTATTAAGGTCACTTCACAAATGAGGCTGAGACAGACAGGATATGCAACTTGAGGGGGATGGGCTGGAGCCCCCAGAACCCCTTTCCCTCTTGCTTCTGAGGCCCGGCCCTGTTCAGCCATCACAGGTGTGACACCTGCCCGAGTCTCTTGGAGACCGTGAAGCGTGATTGATAAAACCCTAATAGAATATTCAACTCTAATTTCTGTGGTAGGAAACTGAAATGCTGTCAGAAGTGGTAAGTGGATTGATTTCTTGAAATAACATTTAAGGTACTGGTGTGTCCGGTTTATCTGCAGAGCGCAGCCAGGAACAGTGGTGGCGAACCCATGGCATGCGTGCCACAGTCTGCTGCTTGGCACCACTGAAAGCTCTTAAAGGTTTGCCATCACTGGTCTCCAGGCTGCAGGAGGGCTGGTGACAGTGGGTTGGCCCAGCGGGGCTTGGGCAGCCACAGATACCAAATCCGAGTCACCAAGGAGCTACTGGGTCAGCCAGTCCTTCCACTGCGGGGTGGGGTGGGGCAGGGTCCCCTCGGAAAGATCTCAGAATTGTCCTATGCTCCTTGGGAAAGATGTGGGGAGGACCCACGCGCTGGCCCCTGTCCCCACTAATCAGGGGTGAGCCCGGCTCTTTCCTCCTCACCTCGGGGCTGGACTGGAGCCCACGCTGCATGGCTAGACAGGTGTGACCCCTCCAAGGCCGGCCGCTGTGGGCTCAGGACACACGGCAGGGAGAGAGAGGCGAGGCGGAAAGAGAGACCCTTCAAAGAACCTTCGGCCAGCTGTGGTGGTTCATGCTCTGGGAGGCTGAGGCGGGAGGATTGCAAGTTGGGGTCCAGCCTGAGCAGTTTAGTGACTTAATGAACCTGTCTCAAAATAAAACAAAGGGCTGGGAAGGGAGCTCAGGGCAGAGTTCAGTCCCCACAAGTACAAAAGACAACAACAAAAACCTGTATTTCCAAGCCTGTTGAAAACCACAGGTCCCTATTTTGAAAAGCAAAGACTCATTATTCCAAAGGTCTGCACACTTAGAATTTTACAGAAACGTGCTTCAGGTAGCTAAGTGTTCCTCATGCTCCAGGCTCTTGCGTCTATGTGTGGGAACCCCAAGCCCAGGCCCAGGAACTAAGTGAGAAATAAGAGCTCGGTACCATGGTGCACACCTGTAGTCTTGGTTACCAGGGAGGCTGAGGCAGGAGGATGGCAAATTTGAAGCCGGCCTGGGCTACTTTGGGAAACCCTGTCTCCAAATAAAAGGAGAGGAAAGGGCTGGGGTGCAGCCCTGGCAGAGCCCTGGCCTGGCGTGTTTAATCGCCAGGCCTGCAAATAAGTGACGCAGAGGAAAAGCATTAAAATGTCTGCCTGCAGACGTGGCTGGGACAAGAGCTGTGCCACCACTGCTGTGCTTGCTTCTAATCGGGTTTGTCCACGGAGAGGTCTGGGACACTTACAATAGGTCTCTGCGGGGCTTTAGCTCAGCGGCACAAGCACCTGCCTGGCAAGCTTGAGGCCATGGATTCGATCCCCGGTACCAAAAAATAAAATACAATGACTGCATGTTTATTAGAAGCGCACAGTTATACTGACTCCCAGGTTTTAGGCTGGTAAGTACAGATCCACACGCATCTCTGTGGCATTCACAGGTCACGGCGTGGTCAGTGCCGCTGGTGACATAAATCGCATCCCGGAAACAGCTCTGTGATCAGCGCACTGACACCATTTCCCTCCTCTCCGCGGGTTCTGCCGTCTGCCAGCTTCCCTTTCCGAAGCGGTGGCTGCAAGGTCGCCGGTCTGACAGGACAGATGCTGTTTCCCCGCCGGTGGTTTCCTCCAGGATGTGACAGTTATCATTTCTCGGACACTGATTTCCCAGCTTGCTGTGTCAAAAGTGCACTGTGTCGCCTGGCAGGTCAGGAGACAGGAGATGCTGAGGCTGTCAGCAAGCCTCGGGCTTCAGAGGGGTTTGGAAGCAGCTGAAGCTTTTTCCCTCACGGACATCAGTAGAGACCTCCCGGGGGGCGGGGGGATCGCTGTTAGCACTGTTACAGTCATAACCGCCTCTCAAAACCCAGCTCCCCAAACCCTGAGATGCCATGGGGAAAGGACAGCCTTTGGCTGCCTTGACGGGTAGCTCCTGTCATCCTGAACCCCAGCTTCACCTGGCGATGGTCAGCACAGCGCCCCAAACTCTCTGCCACTGGCAACCACTGTCCCAGACCCAAGGCGACGGGGCCTGGGCACGAGTCTGGGTGACACACACTTGTGGACACGTGGGTGTCACAGTTAATGTGAATAAGACTTTCCTGGATGCGCGCACACACAACTCAATGGCTTTGGAGGAAAAGCAATTTCCATGGACAGAAAACCACTGTGGACCATAAAACTCGCTCTCTGTGCTGCTCGGAATTATGGTGACCCTGCCCTTCCTGCACCTCGGCAGCCGGGGACCGGCCACCTCACTGGCCAGGACAGGACTTGTGGTGTCTTTCTGAACATCTGTACCTCTTCCGCCTTCTGCTGATGCACGATGCTTGTTGATTTTGAAAAATGCGCACAGAATATTTTTTTGTTTTTTATCGGTATCGGGGATCAAACTCACGACCACCTGCTTGCAAGGCAGGCGCTTATGCCGCTGAGCTAAATCCCCAGTCCCCCAGAACATTTACAAATAAGTGTGCAAGGTCTCCCCAGGCCTGGTCCCGGCCTGTCCCTGGAGACATGGGTGCTGCCTTCCAGGAGACGCCTTGGGATGGTCCGGCCTCTGCCAGAGAGAGCACCCTTGTCTCCTCCCTCGTGACGTCACCAGACACCCTGACCACCGGCCTGTCCCGTGCATCCCACAGCGGTGGGGACTTGCTGGGCTTCCCTGTCAGCCCCTGCAAGGCCACACTCTGCTGTCCTCCTCTGCCCAGAGCCCTGTGGCCCCTGCCTTTCTATTGCCATAAGCTTGGTTTCCAGTCCAGCGCCCCCTCACCCCAAGACTGGCTCCTGGGCCGCCCTGACCTTTTATCCCGTTCTTCCGACCTCCCCAAGGCCCAGTCCCCCTCCGCCCCAACCCCTCCTGTACCCCCTGCTCCAAGCCTGCCCTGTGTCCTCATCTCCTATCTAGGTGTCCTCTGCATCTCTCTCTTCCTTGGTGCCTGCACCCCCATGCCCAGCCACCTCCCTGGATCTTCCCTTCCCCACTTGGCAGTGTTGTTTTTTGACATACCATCTCCAGAAGTTTCTAAATTGCCCAGGCTGGGCTGGAACTTTCAATCCTCCTGCCTCAGCCTCCCAGAGTAGCGGGGTCACAGGGATGCACCAGCAACAGGTGATTTTTTTTTTTTTTTTTGTCTTTTTCACTGTTTATCGGTACCAGGGATCGAACTCACGACCGCCTGCTTGCAAGGCAGGCACTTATGCCGCTGAGCTAAATCCCCAGCCCCCCAACAGGTGATTTTTAAGAGGCCCTTGGCTGTGCTCCTTCTGTGTCCTCCTCCCGCACCACCCCCACCCCGCTGTGGGCTGAGATTATCCCTGTCCAGGTCTGTGGTTAGCGCTGACCACCAAGCAGTCCTTGAACCTGTCCCCCAGGTCCTCCTGTGCCCCTTCACCTGTCTTGGCCAGCATGGGGCTTGTTAGAAGGCTGTGCTCGTGCAGGGCCACAGGCAAGAGCCAGATCCAGTGGGGAGAACAGGGGTCACTCCCGGGAACGAAACAGTGTGTGGCCTGGCTGCCCCTGCTGGCGTGACGTGGCTCCCCCCACATCGCAGCCCAGTGTCCTTCCGTGAGGACTTTGTCCAGGAGAGTGCATTTTATGCCCCAGCTCAAGTCACCCCAGGCCCTGGCAGGGCAGGGGAGAGGGCTTCAGTGGGCGACTGCCCAGCCTGTGTCCTACAGGCCAGGGGCAGCTCCAGGCCAGTGCTGGACACTGTGCCAGTGGGAGAATATGCACTGAATACACGCAGACGAGAGGACCCCAGTGCAGCCCTGGCCGTCCCGCAGTGTGACCCCCTCGACATCCACCTACAGCTGCCCTAGAAGCGCACCTATCACGAGTGCAAGTGACCCGACACCGAGCCTGTCCGGGGTCAGGTCCGGGGCCAGCGGGAACGCGGGCTGTGCTTGCAGGTCAGCTGCAGTGGGAGGGAGAAGAGGGGGTGACCCTGCCCCTCTGTCCCCCTCCTTCTTCCTTCTCTCCCTCTCTCTCTCTCACCTGCTCCTGCACACATGCACCCCGCATTCCTGTTCTTCCCAGTTCCGTGCTGACCAGGGACTTGGGTTTGAGCACATGGTCATCTTTCCAGATGGACGAAGTTGTTGCCACCGGGCTCCAGGAACCTGGCTTTGAAGCTGCAGATGTTTCGCGGTGCGGATGCAACAGAGATTAGAAAAAAAAAAGGCTATAAAAAAGAGAAGACTGAAAATCAGAAATAATAATCAAGTTAAAAGCAAAGTGAGACACTCCTCTCTGGGGACTGCAGGGAGTCCAGGGCGCTGGGAGGAAGGGAGAAATAAAAACGGTTAAGATGCCATATGTGTGTACCTCAGATAAATACACGCGTAAATTACTGCTCGTAACAGAAAGACTCAGCGAGCCTCGGCTGGCGAACTCATTTCTCTCCAGGATTCTGGCTGCAAACCAAGCCACAGAATTGAACCGAAGGCACCCGTAAGGTTAACCTTGAACCATTGAATTTGATTCGGTTCCTGTCCAACTCGATTTGTGACCAGAATCCTGGAGTAAAAAAAATCAAGTTTCTGAGCTGGGAGACCACTGCGCCAACAGAGCAGGAAGGGAACAGCTGCGGTTTCTTTAGGGAAGAGTCAGGCGGGCATCTCGGCTGGTGGCGGAGGGGCTGGTGGGCCGCGCTTGGGGGGCCTGCGCGTCAGCGTCACCCTGGGCAGGGTGGTACCTGGGGGCGGGCTCCGGGGACTCCCAGGCTCCAGACTAGTGGTGGCTTTCTTGTCCCAACGGGATCTGTCATTCAGCCATCACTGTAAACCCCGGTGCAGTGCATGTGGGTGGGGGACGCAACCGTCCAACCTCCAAAACATTCCAAGTGCTGGACGGCTCCTCTCTGTCCTCTGGAGACAAACCTCTGAGTCAGCATGGCCTTCGGGAGAGGGGACAGGAAGACAAGATCTTCCGGGGCAGCCACTGGTGTAACATGGGGCACAGTGTCGCCCGCATCGCAGGGTCCCCTGTGTCAGCCAGGGGGAAGAGTGTGCTGTGCATGGGCATCCGATGGCACTGAAAGACATCCCACCCCCACAGCTCTGGTGTGCACCCCCCTGGTGCCTTAATGAGCTCTCCAGGGACCTTCAGTTTCAGAGGAAGTCAGGCTTCCCCAAGAAACAGAACCAGCAGGAAATTGTAGTTCTATATCAAGACAGAGACAGAGATGGAGAGAAAGAGAGACAGAGAGACAGAGAGAGACAGAGACAGAGAAGGAGAAAAAGAGAGACATAGAGACAGAGAAAGAGAGAGAGAGAGAGAGATCAGCTCACACCATCATGGAGGTTGGCAGACCCCAGGGCAGAGCTGAGGGTGCTCCCAAACCACACCTGCAGGCCTGCCACTAGGAGGTGGCGGTGTCATGGCCATGTGAACCCCATCAGCTGGAGACCCACGAAGATGTATGGAGCCAAACGCTAATCTTGTTCCCAAACAGCAGCAGGACGTCTGACGTCCTCTGTGCACCTCTAGACCCTGTCAAGTTGACCCATCACAGTGACACTGAAGTCAGTGCTTGGAGGGGGGGTGGGGTGGGGCCTTGGTCTCCATGGTGACACCAGGGACTCTCAGGGACGTGAGGCTGGCCTTCCATGCTGCGGGTGGGGGTGGGGTCACAGCGGCTGCACTGACCCTGGTCCAGCCACAGAGCTGGTGTAGATCTGCGGCCTCTCTAAACTGGTGGCTTTGGGTTACCCAGGGATGTAGTTTAGATCTAGAATGTTCCCTAGTAGTCTCATGTGATCAAAACCAGGCTTTGGGAGATGGTTGGATTGTGGGGTGCTGTATCAGAGGGTTAACCCACTCATGAGTTTGGATCTGAGCGTGCAGTTGGGGGGTGGGGGCTAGGGGAGAGGGTGGGTGACCGGGTGTGGCCTGGAAGGGCTCCTCTCGTCCACAGCTCCCCCTTTCCTCTCTGCTCCCTGCCTTCCCTGAGGTGAGCACCTCCTCCCATGCCCTCTCTGTCCTACAGCCAGCTGACTGTGGACTGACCTTCTGAAACTGGGGCCCAAATCCTCTGTAAACTGCGGGTGCCAGTGTCTTGCCCCAGTGATGGGAAAGTGACTCACACTCCCAGCACGCCACCACAATGTGGCACTTTAGTCTCTGAAACCCAGTAACCTGCTGGACATTTGGCTCCGTTTTACTTAATGATAGGGGACCCCAATTATAGTAGCTGACCCTTCATTTTAACACCTGAGAGCCCAGACTCCCCAAGTTTCTCAGAAGTTGAAACCCTGTGTGAGAGTTAATCTACCACCACCAGACGGCCACATTTCTTACCGATGTATCCGTGACCTGGTCACCTCCTGCAGCCACCGTCCATACCATGGAGTTTTAATAAATGGACCCACAGTAAATATCCATACCCAGGAGTATGCACCGGGGCTCAGTGACCCTGTCGTCATCACCTACTCAGGACCGGGGACTCCACCTTGGAGCCCGCACTGCCAGCCCCTTCTCAGAAGAAACGGGGTGGAAAATGCATGTGACCCACACGCAAAGTCACCCGAGTCATTTCACAGGGCGGATGGAGACCAGGGCCGCTCTCCGGGCCCGGGGCTTCATGGCCTGACATTGTTAACGAGGGCGATGGACTTGGACACCGGGAAGAATCACTGCTGCGTCTCTTCCAGTTCCCAGCGTCTCTTTTCACCAGGTCTGCTTCCTGGTGGCGATCACATTTGTTTACCCTGAAAATGAGGGAGACACTTTTATGGCTCCAGGTCTCCATGGTGCGCGGGAGCCTCGCCCATGAAGCTCCGGGCTCCCCCTTCCTGCGGGCATCTGGGGAGTGGAGAAGGGGGCCACCCCCAAACAGAAGGCACCCAGAGCCAAGTGAGGCCAGATTTATTCCCCTTGTTCCCCCAAAGGCTGGTTTCTTGGGAACCGGAGGGGACCAGCGGGAGGCGGAGGCCTGAGCCACACGGACGGCGTTGTCCGGGTTCCGAGGTCAGCGGTCAGGGACCTCAGGGCACCTGCGACTACCGTTTCCAAGTCCTTCTCTGTGCGTCGAGGGCTGGCTCTCCCATCTTGAAACAACCAAGTCTTTAACAAGCAATCAGACATTTCCCATTTCTCAGTCTTCGTGGTGGGGCCAGACCTGTCACACACAAAGCAGAGAAAGGATGTTCTCAGAGGAGAACGGGAAACCGAGTACCAGCACCGTCAGACCACCGGTCGGTCCCCCACCACCCCAAGAAACCTGGGGGGCCACAAGGCCTCTGCCGGCATCTCCTGGGGTGAGGAGACTGCTGTGCTTGGGTCTTGAGTTTATTGTATGATTGAAGAGTTTCGAGATGTTAATTTTCATGGTAAGAATCTCTTTGGAAATTATAATAGGGCCCAGCAAACTGGTGACATTTTCTGGTTCAGTCTTTTTTTTTTTTAAACAGACGTAAGTGCCTTTTCAAGTCTGAGGGCTGCCAGCTTGCGAAGTGGATTGCACCTGAGACCACAGGGCAGCGTGGGGAAAGCTATTCAGCAGACGCAGTGTTACACGGTTGCCAGCGGCAGGTAATATTTCTTAGCCCGGGGACATGCCCGCTTTGCGAAGAAGACGGTGGCAACCCTTGCCTTCTAATTAGAAAGTCTGGCATAAAGAGCATCCCACTGGCACGGCCACACACTATAATTCTTCCCGGTGGAGTTTCTTTCTCACGTTAAGAAAAGGGTAAGGGAGACCAGAAAGAAAACGGACATCCGTCATCTGATTAGTTGGGGGCGATTGGAGAAGAATGTGCCTCCAGAAGGAGAAAGGGCCTGGCAGGGCAGGAAGCTGGGAGGAAAAGCTTCTCATGGCGATGGAGAACCCCGCGCCATCCTCGGAATGGGAAATGCAGATGTGGGGAAGCTGGTGGAAATTAAAGGTGAGTATAGACAAGAGACTCTAGAAATTTGCTCTAAAATTTCCAAAACATCACGATTTTTTGCTATGAAAATTCCTGTAGAAACAGGCTTTACTCCCATGTGTGGATACCCTTCCCACCCCTCATTACTGTGACATTAACTGTACCAGTTCATGCCTGGTATGTGGCTCCAGGAGGTGAAGACTTTGTGGAAACACAAACCCATCTCAGACAAAAACAGAACAGAACAAACCGGAGTTCCTTCCATCACCAAGGCTCAGGTTTTGCTATGTGTTCATTAAAAGCAGGATTTTCTAGTGAGATCTGGACAATGCAGCTGATTTCTTAAAAATGATTGGAAGGGGCCAGGGATATAGCTCAGCACCTGCCTGGCAAGTGCAAGGTCCTGAATTCAATTCCTGGTACAAAAGAAAAAAGGTTTGTTTATGGGAGATGGGGCGCACTGTATGGAATCATGGTGAGAATCCAGCTCTCTGCATGGCTTCCTGTTCTCGGGAGGGTGTGGGGGGTCCCACTGCATAGCTCAGACTGGCCTTGAACTCACTGTGGAGGTGAGGCTGACCTTGAACTCACCAATCCTCCTGCCTCAACCTTCCGAGTGCTGGGGTTCCAGGTGTGTGCCACCACGCCTGGTTTTTGCCTGCATTCCTAGTGAGTGGTCCATTACAGGAATGGGGATCAGAGCCACCAGGACAGACCCCAGCCCTGAGCTTGGCACCTGTGAGGTGTAGCATGGCACCTGCTACTTTGTCCCCCAGGGCCACTGCCGCTTGGACACCAGTGAGTAGAATTCAGCCAGGGCAGTGGCACCACATCTGGAGCCCTGTCCCCTGGGCCGGCATGGCCACCACAGCCCGCAGGCTACCCGTGTGTTGCACCCGGCTTCCGGCACGTGGCTCTCTTCCTTCTTGGGCTGGGTGTTTAGGATCTCACCTTCAAGTGATGGCTAGGGAGCAGCGATGGACTCGGGCAGGAGAGGAGGTGTCCCCTCCCCTGACCGCGCTGGAGACCTGGTGGCTTGGCCTCCTGCTCCACAGCCCTGGGCCTCTGGCCCCCTCGCAGGGTTTTGGGTGTGTGTGACACCTGGCAGTGTGCCCCTGGGCTTTCCGAGGAGACTGCCCTGTCCCTGCGGGTCCTGGCCAGTCTCCTGGGCCCTGTGTCAGCCTCTGGTTCTCCCAGTTCTTAGGCGCTCACCCGGGGCTCAACCCCAGCCCTGCAGGCACAGCAGCAAGTCCTCTTGCCCCCCCTCTCTTCCCTCCTTGCTGTGTCTGGCACCCTGGCTGTTTGGGCCCACGTCCTCTGGCTGACCTCTGCTTCAAGCTGTTCCCAGTGCTATGACACAGGCTGACAGTGCCACGGGATCCAGACGCTTCCCTTTCTTGAAACGCAAATTGGTGTCATCCAACATCAATGCGACCCACTTTCAGCCTATTCCAACTATTAATTTGCATATCTGCATATTTAATATCTGTTGATTTGCATATTTAATGCTTCTGACTTTTTTGTACCCGTGTGTTATCTGAATCTGAGAGATGATTGTTAACGCTCTTTGGTGCCTTAATCAGTTAGCAGAGAGCTAAGACCTCTGACACGTGTTCATTTAATAACTGTATGAGTTGTGAGAATTTTATCATTTTTTTAAAAAAATATGTTTTGGCATCAAATTTTTTCGAAGGAAGGAGACCTTGTCACTATGTCGTAGGTAACTTTGGTAGCTGCTAAGCTACTTCCGTCTCTATAAGTAGAGATTTCCTCTTAACATGAACATTATTGGTCAAGGCTGGATTTTCCTTTAACTTCTACCAAACTCACAGCAATTACTTTAACAATTACTCTATCTGTTTTGTTTTTCTTTTTTGTTACTGAGGATCAAACTCATGACCTCACGCTTGCCAGGCAGGTGTTTATTCTGCTGAGCTGAACCCCTGGCCCTATAGCTGTTTTTGTATTCCCTGAGATTAAAAAAAATTCAATATCTACATTTTCAATTAAGCAATAATTATTTACGAAGGTATCATAAGGAATTGGCTTAACTTTCTGAAATCTCATTTGACCAAGTTTTAGAATTTAATAAATTAGAGAAGTTCAACTTACAAAAATTTTTTTTCACATTTTTACTTAAATAACAAATACATTTTCAAATAATTTATGAAGTAATCTAGAAACAAGCAGGCCTTTTAAAGTTGCTATTTGTGATTTTCTTATTCCTAGAATGTTTTTGGCTTTTCTTTGACAGATTTATTTTAGCTTTATAAATTCAGGCATTTACCACTCAACTGGGTTAATGTCAGCTTTAAGAACTGAAATGTTAAAAAAGTAAAATGTTTTTTCTTATAAAGCTAATAAAAATACTGAGGCCTCTTTTACAGTATCATTTCTAAGCATGCTTCACTTTCACAACTGCGTGCTTGGTTCCCCAGGAGAACGCTGGCTTAGGAGTATTTTGAAATGTCTGTTCCCACTTACCCTACCCCGGAAGCCACCTCTTCAACTTTTAAAACCAGGGGTGAGAGATCTGAGGTGCCAACTTGACTTTTTTTTTTGGTCTTTTTCGTTTTTATCGGTATCGGGGATCAAACTCACAACTGCCTGCTTGCAAGGCAGGTGCTTTTGCCGCTGAGCTAAATCCCCAGCCCCGAGGTGCCAACTTGAGAAATAACTTTTATTGTGTGAGTGGAACTGCAGGTCCAAGGCTGGGGCATTTTTAACTGCACTACACGCAGTAATACCTCGATTCACAAATGCTTCTGTTCACACACAACGCCATTTGCAAAAGAAGCGCTGGGCAAAAGTTTGCTTCCATTCATGAACTCCGCATCAGGTGATGAAAGCCACCCTGCCCCGAATCATGGGGTGGACTGAGTTTGTGGGCTGAGGGACCGCCGTGCTGTGATTTGTTTGCCAAACAGCTGCCTCACCCCAACAAGTCCCACCCCCACCCTGTGTCCCTGCCCTCTGGGACCCCCCTCTTCACTTGGCATGGTCGGACTCTGAGCTTTGCACATCTGGGAGGTCAAAATTGATGTTATCAAACTTTTAGCTGAGCGTGCTGCACACACGTGCAATTCTAGCACTTGGAAGGCTGAGGCGGGCATATTACAAGCCTGAGTAATTTAATAGTGTAGCAAGACCCTGTCTCAAAATAAAATGTTAAAGGGAGGGATATAGCTCCGTGCAAAGGCCCGAACTCAATCCCCAGCACTTGAAGGAAAAGACTTTTTAATAACTTTCGACACCAGGCACTGGATAGCTGGATACTGCTTTGTGTCCGGTTCTGCGTCTCTCTGTCTCCCACCCCGAGTGCTTGCCTGGGGACAGACCCGTGTGGCAGCAGTGATCTGGAAGCCAGCCCCTGCCCGTGTCCTGACTGCCCTCACTGGGGACAGTCCCTGAGGCGGATGAGTGGGTGGGGATTCTGCTTCCATAAGGAAGGAAACATGTGTCCCTCCTGGGGGACCTCAGGCACCAGAACCCAGAGTGCAGCGTCCAGGCCGTGGCCAGGAGCCACGTGGGTGTGAGGAGGCCCACCTAAGAGAGCTCCCCAGGGGCCATGTGAGGTGGCTGGGGACAGGGTCCTGGAGGCTGTCGGGCTGGGTGGGCTGTAGCATGCAAGCTGGAGAAACACGGGGAGAGCGGGGTACAATGAGCAGCGAGGGCTCCGCCCAGCCTGTCACACCCAGGGGTCTCCGGCTGCAGGGGCCTCCCAGGAAGGAGGCTCAGGGTGAGGCCACACGGGACCGGCACTGGTGATGCAGCTCTGGGTGTCCCCCAGTTTAACAGTCAGCTTCCCCATGACTGGAACACAAAACCTGACACCCACAGCTTAAAGGGGAAGTTTAATCTGGGTCACGGTTGGGGGGGCGGGTGTTGAGTAGAGAGGGAGAGAGAGAGAGGGATAAAGAGAGAGGACAGGAGCTGGACACAAGAATGCGTCCTTCCTGCCAGCTGAGCCGTGAGGTGTGCATGCCTGTGATTCTAGCATTCAGGAAACACAGGCGGGAGAAGCACCACCAGCCTGGAATGCATAGCGACACCCTGTCTCTAAAATCATCCTTCCGGGCCCAGCCCCAGTGACCCACCCCTTCCCACCAGGCCCCGCACCCACACTTGAGCCTGACCGAGGCCGAGGCGATGGCTCCCACTTCCCAGGGCCCACTCAGCCAGAGTCAGCGGCTGAGTCCCTGCGTGGGCTCAGCGCCTCGTGACCCGTCAGCTTCCGGAGGGCCCCTCTGGACGCGACACCTCTGGGGGACATTTTAGATGTGACCCACGATGCCCAGGTTGTGTGGATCATAAATAAAGCAGGAGGTCACTAGGGAGAGTGAGAAGGTGGGGGGATGTGGTTGTTTGTGTGGTTTTAAAAATGTAATACCGCCTGGTTCTGGACTGGCTGCCTGATTCGGTTTTTCCTGCTTTCCCAACCTCTATATGATTATTATCATTTCCCTGAGCTGATCTAACACGGCATTTCCTATAAAAACGGCCACCATCCGACTTAGCTTCGCTTTCTACTGTCATGAATGTCACTTTTTTCTTTTTCTTTTTGTGCACGTCATTCTAAAATCGAGAAATGAGCACAAGCAGCATGCACACAGCTGCTGGGAATTTCCGGCTACGCATTGTTTGAGTAACGAGAGCCACAGCTCAGGGTGACCTTATAAAGCTCCTAATTAAATGGGATGGGAAAATGCACTCATCATTTGTTTATAAGAAAACAGCCTTTGATAGCACAGCCAGCATGTTTCTGACACACATCAGCGTGATCTCTTTGAACCTGACTTACTGGCTATAGGATGCTGGCTTTCACCAACATGCCGGGAATCCTGCATTCCTACAGGCTTCGCCTTCTAGGAGTAGGACGCCGAGTCCAGGGGTTGTGTCCATTGTCATAGCTCGGATTAAACATCCCCCAAAAGTCTGCATTTAGAAGTGGGATTTTTGGAAGAATTGGATCAGGGGTCAATACACTCATTAACCGGTGAATCTGCTGATTAAGTCCATAACTGAATGTGCTGGGAGGAGGCGGGCTGGCTGGAGAAGGGCTGTGACCTGCAGTGTGACCTGGAAGGGTACAGCCTGTCCCCGTCCCTTCCCCTGCTCTCTGCCTCTTTGCCGCTCTAGTTGAGTGGTTTTCCTCCTCCAAACCCTCTTACCGTGCTGTTTCTGCTCAGAGTCAGTGGACTGTGGACTGGACCCTCGAAACCACGAGCATAAACAAGCCTTTCTTCTTGTGCGTGTCACGTACTTTGCCCCACAATGGAAAGGTGACACAGACGCGTGGAAGGGATGCAGCTGGAACCTCTGAGGAGCGTGGTGTTCTCGAGAAGGCTGGAGAGGGGGCCTTGAGCTTCGGGATCGATCAAGTCATTTGGAGCGAAGTTTGATGAATAAAGGCTGAGCAAAGTGACCTCACATCACTGGACCTGTGTCCCGAGCCCCACCTGAACCTGGTTTTATTTCCCCAAAGCCACTGCACACACTGTCCCCTGGGTATGACCTTCTCCCCAGTCTTTGCATGGCTGGTTCCTTTGGGTCACTTCAAGCTCCCTGTGGATGCCACAGAAAGTTTCACAAACAGTGACGTAAACCAGTGGAGTTCATGATCTTGCCATCTTTAAGCCAGAAGTCCAACATCAAGGTGTTAGCAGAGGCCAGACGCAGGTTGAAATCCCACAGAATGATGTTTTCCTGCTTCCTCCAGGCCCTAGTCCTGCTACCAAGCTGTGACATTCCTTGCGTGTGAATCAGCTTTTCATCACTGGGACCACACATGTGACACACACAGCTTCAAGGATGAAGGGTTTGGCTCAGTCCATGGTCAGCTGCCCCAGGGCAGAAGCATCATGGGGTAGGGGCACGGTTAGCCTCATGGCAGCAGCTGAAAAGCAGAGAAAGGAACCAGGGCTCAGATCTGGGCCCAAGCCACACTTGGTGACCAACCAGCCTCACCCGGAAGCGCGCTTTACTAATAACTGCCTAGGCAGCCCCAAGCCCATTAAGCTGACAGTCGCGTTAACTGTCACCCTGGCTTGCAGATGCATTGCTCACTGGCCGCCTCCATCCTCCAGGGGCCTCCCGTGGGTGTCTCTTTCCTCCTTCAAGGTCACCAATCATCTTAGCCTCCGGCCTGCCTTACTGCAGTAGGATCTCACTGTAAATGACTGTGTCTGCCGTACTGATTCCCGAGGACGCCACATCCACAGGGGCTGGGGCTTAGGACTTCAGTGTGTCTTCTGGAGGACACCATCCTTCAGGTCTCAGACAAGTGCAGCTGCTGAGTGCTCCTGCTCCAGGCAGAGCTCCTCTGGAGTCAGCTGGCCTGTCCACTGTTTGTCCCGCCGAACATGTGCATGTGCCTGGTGCGTGGGATCGTGGCGTCCACCTCACGCCTCTGCATAAGCTCTGTGGTGTACACGGAGGTGGAAGCTTTGTCCCTCAAAACATCAGCCTCTGGGTCATTGGATGCTCCCGCAGGCCTGGGTAATTTTAAGATCAGTGGTGTCAAGCAGGTTGAGCCAACCACAAGTTACTGAAAAACGACCCAGGGAGCCGGGACCACGGTGTCCACCTTCCGAGATGTTCTCCGCAGCCACGCCAGTGGGGATGTCCTGCAGAGCTGTGTGACTTCTGAAATGGCCAGAACGTTAGAGCATTCTGGTGTAATGAGAAGCAGAAGTACAAAGTGAGCAGGTTTACTGAGTTGAGGACGAGGAAGGAACACACAGCCCACGGCGGCTGGGCTGTCTCCTCCGACCAGATGCAGAGAGGCAGACGGTTCTATGACCTCTGATTGAAGTGGTGCATGGGGTGGACACTGATGATGTGTGAGGGACCGACTGGAATTCTCTGTGCATGCAATTAGGGCTGAGGAAGAAGCAGGAGGTGGTGGGCATCCTGCTTCGGCCTTCCGCCACGTTAGACGAGCACCCTAACCACACAGTGATTTATACCAGGGCAAGAACCTTTCTCAGGAACTACAGGGCCTGTCTGGGGCTTTCTCTCCACGTTGGGATCAGTGGCCTGAACACGGGGTGACACGGGGTGACACGGTGTGATTGGAGTGACAGACTACACCCCACACCCACCCTGTGCTCTGCCACCCCGCAGCCCAGCCAGCCAAGGAGAGCAGGCAAGTCCCAGCACCCCCAGCAGCATGGAGCTCAGCCCTGCATGGAGGGGATGCAGGGGTGACCAGGACGGCGCGGGCGGCTGGGCGGGAAGAAGCTTGTGAGATCCCGGAGCTCGTCCTGGCTGCTCGCTGGTCAGGTGGGAGTGAGACTCTGCGTCCCCTCCTCCGGTGGCATCCCCAGAGGGTCATTCCCAGCGAGCGTGTTTAGGTAATGGCAGGGGACTGCGGTGGCCCTGTGTCCTCCCCAGAGCGGATGTGGTGGGACCGTAGGCTTTGACCTGAAGGAGCCAAGGCCAGGCAGCCCGGGTGGGAATTCCAGCCCCGCCCTTCCGCCCTTCCCGGCTTCTGAATCCATCCATTCACAAGGAAGCGCTGGTGATCACCAGGACGTCTGTTTACCCAAGCAGAACCTGCTTTTTAAAGAGAAAGCCTCTGCTGGGCGAGCTGGTGTACACTGGTATTCCCAGCACTCAGCACTTGGGAGGCTGAGGCAGGAGGATTTTTGCAAATTTGAGACCAGGCTGGATACACACTGAGCTCAGAGCCAGCCTGAACTGCTGGGGGAAATCCTGCCTAAAAAGACAATAAATAAAATAAAATAAGATAAGATAAAGAGAAGGTCTCAAAATCCGTACTTAGCTCAAGCACACATCCCTGCCGCTGGTGCCTCTCACAGTGCCTGGCTCTCAGGTAGGGGAGGTTCTGCTCGGGAGTGGGGGAGACCCCCTCTCAAGGGGTACGCCCGAATTCCTCATGCGGGGTTCGCAGAAGCCCCACAATGTACAAAGCCCCAAGTCAGGGAGTTGGCAAAACTTGGCACTGTACTGTAGAGTCTAACAGAATAATAAACTCCATTTTTAGCAGTTTTCAGGCAGTCAGAGAGTCCGTTTTCAAAAGGCGGCAACTCACTGCATTGCTGTAGTGGAAAGTTCATAAAATCCATCCAAAGATGGATTTTGGAAGTGAAGGTATATGCCCCTACTTTTGTACACAACTTAGGATACTGTACACATCCTCTCTTCTTTTTCTCTGTTTTCAAATCTCCCTCTCTTAAAGTAGCAATCCCCCTGCCTCAGCCTCCCAGAGGTCTCGGATTACAGGCTCCCACCCTGTCATGTCATCTGGCTTTTGTTATGTTTTTTCCCCAGTGCTGGGAGCCTCTTATGGACCAGGCAAAGGCACCACTGTGTGAGCTATACCTCAGCTCAGCATTTCTATTTTAAATTATTGTATAACATGCATCAAGAAAATATTTTAGAGAAGAATTAGGATAATCATTGGAGTGAAAGGCTGGCATGGGGAGACAGAGTGCAAAGTTAGGATTTTCTTTATTTCTGTTTAGAAAGAACTCGGGGGAGGAAAGAGAGAGTAACTTCTCTCTTTCTCTGTTTTTACTTCTTGAGATAGGGTCTCACTCTGTATCCAGGCTGGCTTCGAATTCACTATGATACCCCAGCTGGTTTTGAATTTGAAATCCTCCTGCCTCAGCTTCCTGAGCACTGTGATTGTGGCCCTGCACCTCCACAGCCACCTCGAGAATAATTTGTATGTGGATTTTCTATTTGTTAGGCAAATATTTGTCGAATGCCTACTTTGCTGAAGCAAGTGTAAAGGCTGAGCTTCAGCGATGGCAAGACAGGTTAATCATTGGTCTCTAGAGTCACTGGCCAGAACTCTGAGTTTTCTGCCGAAGTCTGGAAAGCTGGTTGGAGGGATTGCCACAGCCAGTGTGGAGCAGCGCTTTTAACTGCTTTTAACGCATGCTTGGAGCCCAGGAGCAAAGAGGTGAGCACGTGGTTTTACATAACAAAAGAAGTGTTTGTGTCATTAATGTCCCTCATGGGTGCTGTATGAAAATTCCAGTAAAAGGTGGGCAAAGGCTGCCAGTTAATTAAAAAAGGAGAGATGCCAAAGACCAAATTAGATACTAAGCTAAAGGCAAATTGGACATAGACAAAATTAAATCCAAGGCACAGCTAAACAGGCAGAGGTGCTGGTGAACTTTTAGAAGTTTAGTGCTACAGGGAGAACATGCCAGAAGTTTCAGAATAGATTCGATTCTCACAAATCCACACAAGGCACGAGACGCCTGATGAGCATGAACCGGGCTTCAGGAGGAGGCAAACTCCGACGTTGAACTCCAGTTCCTATAGAGGGTTCCTGTCCCATCGCGACCTAAGGTTTCTGATGCACAGGTTCAGAAATCCACTCCCCCGGATCACTGTGGGGAGCCGGAAGACACCGGGCAGAACCAGGCTGAGGCTCTGGCATGAGGCCCAGGGCGGCTTAGGTAACAATCGCCCAAGCTGATTGGTGTAAACTCTGTGAAATCAAAGCTGAACACAGCCAAAATCAATATGTGGCCAGGTCCACGCCAGCTTGACCCGATGTGTCTCTAACGTTTGCATTGCATCGACCACGAAGAGAGCAATGAAAGAGGGTATTATCTGTAATCGTGTTTGCAATCACCGTCACCTGTATACATCACCAGATTTCATTTTACCTGTCACCAGCACAGCAGCCCAGAAGTGACACCAGCCAGGCCTGGTGGGCCAGCACCCGCCCCTGGTCTCCTGCGGACAGATGCAGTGTTCTCTTCCTGATTGTTACGAGATCTTTCTGAGCAAACACCTGGAATTCTACCCTCTCTGGAAATCAGGAGCACAGGGACCAGGCCGTTTATTTGTTTAACCTTTTATGCCTTTATTCCCAGAAGACAGGGCCCTGGACGGAACATTCTGTCAAATAAACAATTGCCCAAGGTCCTGGGCAAGAGAAATCGGGACAGGAAGCAGACAGCGGACTGTTTGCCCCAGGTAACTGCCTGATAAAGTAAACAGGCTGTGTACAGTGAGTTCCTGTCCTCTGAGATAAATATTTATACTCTGGGCCCTGCATTTGAAAGCACGAAGCCATTTCTGGTGTGAACTTTGACCTTTGGCTGCTAAAGAAAGGGCTAGTTTTCTAGGTGATGTCATCGATTTTTTTCTTTTTTCTTTCTTTATTTTTTTGTGGCTCAAAGCTTCAAACGACAGAAAGGAGTGTTTCTGGGATTGTTTAGAAACTGATCCAGCGGCTGGTTGCAGCGTGCAGGTGCAGGGCCACTTTCCAATCAGAAAGGACTCTTAGCCACACCTGCCATAGAAAGAATTACGGGGAGCAGGGCAGCGTGGGGTTCCTGTGAGTCCTAATTCTGCAAATGGCTTGAAGCTAGGAGCCGGCTGTGGGCTGATGCTTGTCTTCGGTTTATTTCTGAGGAAATCGAGGACTTTATTTTTAGGATGTTGGTTTAACTTGGCCTCTCGTTTCTGTGACCTAAATGTATTGTGTTTTAGCCTTCATAAAATAAACAGGAAAAACCATTCTCTCAGGGTGCGCTGAATGAACCCAGCCAAAACTAAAGCGAAAGGTAAAAGATGTATCTGGCGTGAGGAGCCTCGCTGTGTAGGATGGGGACCCGGCTGGCCGGTCACTCCTCCTCCCCGCCACGTGCAGTGTCCCAGGCGTCTGAAGAGCTCTGTCATCTCTGAAATGTCTCCTGTCCACGCACTCGCTGCCCCTCCTGTGCCATTTCCAACCGGCATTTCCACAGGGGCCTCCGGGCCCTCACACACCCCAGCCAAGCTCAAGGTGTCCCCTCAGTGGCCAGCTCCCCACCCCAGCCTGTTGCTCATTCGGAGGCACCCTGCTTGGCCCTGCTGGCCAGGACCCGGGGCTGTGGCCTAGCTCCCGTATCCCGACCCATCCTCCCCCCAGTCTTGCCCTGGGTCTGTGGTCTCTGTGTCCACCTTTGCTCTAGAGGCCCTTGCTTCCCACCTGGGCAAGCAGTCATTGGCCCCCGTGTCCAGGGCCCGTGCTGCTGTCCCATAGAACTGTCTACCACAAAACCAGAGGGACCTCACCCACTCCACGTCCCCTGGGGCACTGGTCCTCTGTGACTGCCCTCTGCCTGAGGTTAATGGAAATGTCCCATCTTAAACCTCCGAGGCCTGCCAGACCCTGGCCTCTGTCAGCTTCCACTGGGCTGCTCTGAGTCTCCATTCTGCTCTGGGATGCACAGCAGGTGATCTATTTGCACATTTGCTTGTCACCTGTCTCTCTCTCGGCCCCAAGGACAGGGTCCCTGGTTTTGCAGCCGTAGCTCCAGCAGCTCAGAGCGAAGTCTGCACACCGAGGGACATTCAGTGAGCACTTGTGAAGCACAAATGAACGGGCAAGTGAATGAGCCGGTCGAGAGAAGCGCCAGGATCCTAGGCGGTGAATCCGTCCCAGAAGACGGCAGAGCTTCGGACGGAAGTGCAGGAGCCGTGGCCCTGGGCCTGCGTGGTTTCTGACTCACAGCTGCAGACGAGGGACCCATAGAGGTGAGATTAGCTGCTGCTGACCCTCGCCGTTGCCCAGAACATGACCTCCCCTTCCAGTTTCTGCCCCACCCACCTTCCATTCCTGGGTGCACCCAGCTCTTTCCGGCTTCAGGGTCCTCCCTGCACGTGCTGATGTCTTAGCCAAGACCCCTCCAGCCCTTTTTCCTTCTGAAGGCACATCTCAGTGACCTCCTTCTCACCGTAGCATCCCAGCTTCCCGGTCCCTGCCTGAGCACCGCCTGAGGAGACCCACACCAGACCAGGTGCCCCAACGCGACGGCACGGCCTCCATCACTAACCCAACCTATCATCCTGCATCTGGGCTATCCTCTCACTACTGCTGTCCACCTTCCTGACCCTCATGGGCAGGGATTGTGGGTTATTTTTGTTTTGTTTTTACCACCTTAGCCTTTTGACCAATATCTAATACAATGTCCGGCTTAAAGAAGTGCCCAGGGGATATTTGTGATTTTAAATTAAAAAAAGAAGTGTTGACCTGTTAGTTACTATTTTGCTGTTGCTGCTGTTGCTGGGAGATAGTACTTGACACTCACAATGTAAAAGAAGAGAGGTGTACTTTGGTTCAGCTTTTTAAAGGAATTTCAGCCCTCGTAGGGTGGTGGAAGGGTCTGGCGGAGCAGAGCTGCTCAGGTCATGGGGCCAGGAAGCAGAGCATGAAAGAGGAGCTGGAGAGGGAGGTGCACCCCTCCGGGCCTCGCCCCAGGATCCCGCCTCCTGACATCACATTTAGCTACAGTACCCCAAGATTCAATCACCTTGCAAAACCCCTGCCGATGAGGATCTGGGGGGACATCCAGAGATAAACTGTGACAGTCAATAGTCTTAGCATACTTTATACAATGACACTAAAACTCAAATTAAAAAGTAGCCAAAGGATAGCAGGTGATTCTGAAAGGAGAGCTTGGTCTTGGCCACAGCTATAAGGCCAAGCAACCTTATTTAGAACAAAAGAAATAGAAATTAAAATATAACAAAACACTATTTCAAATGGACCAATTTGGGCAAACGTTTAAGAAAATAAATGTATCGTTAACAGATTCGGTGTAATCCTATCAAAATCCCAGTGACGCTGGGATCCAAGGCAGGAAGTGACGGCAGAAGGGTCGGGGCGGAGGAAGAGCTGCTCACCCCACTGTGGCCGGGAAACAGGGAGGAGGCAGGGGCCAGGAGGGAGGGACGCATACCCTTCCCGGTCACACTGTGCCATCTACCGCAGTGACCGGTGTCTACCTCCTGGCAGCAAGTCTTAGCACCCGGTGATCCAATCCCCACCTATGCACATGCAAGGCTTGTGGGGAGCAGGATCCCCTGAGCCATAACACAGGTCGCTCAGAGATTCCGTTTCTGGGCATATACCTAGAAGAATTGAAATGGGGACACGAAGCCATGTTTAAACACCACGTTTAAACAACAGCAGCTCTGGTTGCAGTCACTGGCAGAAGTGACCCAGATGTCCTTTGCTCTGGGGGTGATGATAAAGTGTGGTTAGCACAGTCAGTGGACGCCATGACTGAACCGTGTCTCCCCAGACTTCCTGTGTTGAAGACTCCCAGACAATTCGATGGCATTTGGAGACGAAGCCATGGGAGGTAACCAGGGTGAGAAGTCAGGAGGCGAGGTCCTCATGATGGTGTCTTCACAGGAGGAGATGCCACACAGCTTGCCAATCCACTGCCACTGCATGAGGACACAGCCCGAAAGCAGTCACCTGTATGCAGGAAGAGCGCCCTCAGCAGGAGCCGGGTGCTGACATCTTGATCTTGGATTTCCAGCATCCAGGCCATCGAGGGAGGAAGCCTGCGGCTATGGTGTGAGCGCCAGGGGAGAGCACTGTGTTCCAGTAGCTTGCCTTCAGTTTGTCTTGTGCTTCCGAGGTACACTGCCCAAGTCTAGGCCACTTCTGCTGGACACAGACCCCCTGGTTCAAGTGGGAGACGGGTGGTCAGTGCCTTCACGCTGTGTCATGCCGGGGCAGAGGCAAAGAGAGGGTGAGAGAGGGAGAAAAGGGGCCAGACTCCACTTTTCTAGTGAGCCCCTGGCCTCAGTAAGAACCCAGCCTTTGTCCATTAAAGGGGGCGGGGCCCTCCCGGCTGAATCAAGCTGGTGGCTCTGGGGTACAATTTCTAATATATTCTTTTGGGGGACACCTTCCAACTCAGCACAGCCCACAGTGACTAAGACAGTGAAGTACTCCCCAGGTTGGAAAAGAAAGTGATTCTGGTCCTCGCTGATAGAGTTATTTCCAAAAGATGAAAAATATTAACAAAAGATGAGAAATATAAAATAAAAAGCGGCCTTTATTCTGAGAACACGGAGAGAGATGACCGGCAACCCCACCGCTGGCGTCCGGCGATCTCTCCGGCGGACACGAGGCATGGGGGCCTGTAAATAACCTCGGTTTGGGGTGGAACCTAAGGCGGGCATTAGGGATACACAGGTAGCCCATTGGTCCTAGGTTTGGCGCCATATGTAAATTCCCAGGGGCGGGAAGATGGCATCACAGGTAACTTCCTAGGGGCAGGGCAAGATGGGGCTTCCTGCTTCCGGCTGTGGCTTTCCTGGCTACAGTGTCCTGTCTGGGCCAAACCTTTCATATCCCGTCTTATGGTTATTATTATGAAAAGGGGCGAAGATTTCTCTCTTTAACTACTTCCTGCTGGCAAAGGGCGCTGTACTGGAGCCTAGGGGAGTCGACGGGATGAAGGTTGATGCCCAGGTAGATGCTGCTGCCAGGTGTTTTAGCCAGGACAGCTTCACTGGTGAATGCACGTATGTCAGACTGGAAAAACAAAGAGACAAGATGTTATGAGGAGACATGGCACTGTCATATTTAAGGACCCAGGTGAGGTAGAAGGAAAGGTGCCTTTGATTTAGTCTATCAGGACCATGTTGAGGTAGAAACATTTCCACGGTGAGGCAGAATTCTGAAAATTAAACATGGGGTTAGGAGGAGTGGAGTTATGAGAGGTAATTACTCCCCCATCTGAAAGCATAAAAGTTAAGACGGTAGGTTGGTGAGGCTTGTCTCTGGTATGCATGATGTTGGAGTCTGTAGGCAATACTGCTAAAGAGTTCTGCTGTAAAAATGACCATTAATAGAATGTAAGAAACTAGGAACCAAAGTGGATAACAAAACATGACTTAGCCTGTTAACTGTGGCTGCGAGGCCTTCGTGAAACGGAGATTGGGTAGGCGACAGAAGATGAGGTGACCACTCAGAATGATCCGATTTAGGGCTGGAAGGGCACCTCTTAGCCTGAGTGATGTGAAACCAGGATGGGAGTCCAGTAATTTGGATTCATGCATGGGTCGCTGTAACCTGGTTGTATCAGCAGTTTACCTGGTTGTGGGAAAGGCTTTTATGTATCCTGAAAAAGTATAAACAAAGTGAGAAGACAAAATATATCTGTCAGTCTTGACCAGGGTTGTCTGACAAATTGGTGAATAAGAAAGGAAGGGGGTGGTCTGTATCACTGAGGAAGGGTCCACCAGCAACAACAGGTAGGAGCTGTTGAGGCCTCAGTGTGTCTAAGTCAGCCTGTATAAAAGGCATTTTAAGATTTAGGACTGGGACCTGCACAAAATAGGCCCTGTTTGTAAATGGCATAGGTTGACCATCAATACCCCATCATAGAGATTGAGGACTTAATATAGCAGCCTGAATATTCAGGAAGAACTCTGTATATATGGCCTCTATGTCCACAAATATAGAGAATGTCTTACCTGAGAGTTTTGTGCGACTTGGAATCTGAGACGGACACCTTAAAGGGGGCTGTTGTTGCCCTGAACTTCCTCAGTCTTCAGCAGCAATTTTCTGTCGGTGATGAATCACAGTGTCGACATTTCCTGTGAGGGCTATTACTTAGGATGGCTTACCCACTCTCTGGTGGCTAGGACAGTCCAGTAGCCCTGGAGTAAGGTCTCAAAGAATGCCAGGATGGGGCATTTTCTTGCCCAGTATCTTGTGCTGTATTTGAGCGTGGTCCATGGAGGGGGCAGGCAGCTCCACCTTGTGTAGGTTTACCTGTCTCAGAACTCCAAGTGTCACAAGTGTTAAAAATATAAAAAACCATATTAAGATCTCTCTAAGGTTTGAAGGTCAAGTTTTGCCTTTTTGTTTGGGATTTGGACTACAGTAGAATTAAGTAAGTATGCAGGAATTTAATATTGGCATTTTAGATTAGAAAGCAGGCTTTATCTGGATGGCACATTGCTTTTTTTTTATAGGGTGACACGTAGAATTAACAAAGCTTTAGTCTGCCAAACAAGGCTTTAATGGAAACATTTTGCAGTAAAGGTTTAGCAATCTTATGAATAAATCTATCAAAACTGATCTAATACTGTCAAATTCTGAACACATTTACTTTTAAAGTTGTTATTTGCAGTAGTATGAACCAAGGCAAATAAAATAAAACTTTTCCCAGCAAAAAGGAATTTATAACCTTAGTTGTTAAACAGGAGATTGGTGAAGGCTTTGATTGATAAACAAGGCTGGTAAAATTATCAGGTAGCCAATAACCTTGATTAAATGGTTTGAGAATTGAAATAAAAAAGCATCTTTTGAGCGGAGCCAAATTGTAAAAAAGCACGCCTGAGCAGAGCCGCTGAGCTGCTGTTTCGCGGCACTCTGGCAGAGCACGCCCAGTGTGTGGGGCAAGCGCTGGGATGTAGCGCGCAGGGGCGGGCTCGGACTGCCCCCGGAAACGTGTAAGGTGGCGGCGGCGACGAGGACGGCGCATAGGGGAGGGAGGGGCTGGGACGGCGCATGGGGAAGGGGCTGGGAGGCGGCCCGACACAGAGCGCGAAGCTGGAACTGCTTGCAGGGCAGGAGGATTAGAAAGCCAATTTAGGAACACAGCTGGGTTTTGATTAGCCTCCTGGACCTGTTTTAAAAGTTTGTTATAGTTAGTATGTTTGACCTGCTCTGGCACAGCTATAGGCCCAGAGTCATTATAAACGTCCTTAAAATGTAAATCATAACAATTAGTAATAAATTTAAATTGCCTGATATAATTCTGTGGGTCAACAGAAAAGCTACCTAATTTATGGACAGTCTGGGATAGATCAGAAAGGGAAAAAGGCACATGGATGTTAACAAGTCTCTCGGGGCCCGCTTGCTCCCGAAGCGGTAGCAGAGCCTGAGGAGATTCCAGAGCAGAGGGCTTTTGAGCAGCCATCCTTCCGGTAGGCGCATGTGAGCAATCATCTGTAGAGCGGCTACAGAGCTGCTGCCGGTCACCCTGGGAAACACGAGCAGATGGCATCTCACTGTGTGCCTCGCAGCTAGAGGACTGCTGTCGGCAGCACAATGAAGCGTCATGTGCACTGCAACAGGGCGGCTGTTGTAGTCCACAAGAGGAGCCACAAGGAGATGCCTGTTGACAGTGAGGGCCCTGTAAACATGGCGGCGCCCTGTCACGTGACCCAAAACATGGCGGCGCCTGGGAACATGGCGGCGCCCTGTCACGTGGCCCAAAACATGGCGGCGCCCTGTCGCCATGTGGCCCTCCGGAACATGGCGGCGCCATGCCACGTGGCAGAGGGTTGCAACATGGCGACTGTTCCCCGCGCAAGCTGAAACAATCACGCGACCTGCTGGAAGGACATAGCGACCGAGACCTAGTATGGTGGGCAGGCGGTGAGAATGCTGTAGGGGATACAGAATTCTCAGGAGAGGAAGTCGGAGACTGTGAGGAAGCGCTAACAGAGGGATTAAAGCTGCTGGGAGAGATATGGGTCCCTGGAGACTGAGGGGGAGAGGATTGAACATCAGGAGATAACTGCGACACAGAGGGATTAGAGCTGCTGGGAGAGTTATGGGTCCTGGAAGGCGGAGAGGGAGACGATCGTACAGTGGGAGGTATCTGCAATGGAGAGGAATTAGAGCTGCTGAGAGAATCAGGCACAGGGGGAGGAGAAAGCGGTCCGGCGGGAGGTAACGGCAGGGAACAAATTTGGTGGTAGGCAGGCGGCGGCTGGGAAAACAATGGAGGGCAGGACGGAAAAGTTTGTGGCGCAGTAGACTTAGCTAAAAGTATCTCAGCGGGAGCACAAGACTTAATGAGAGATGGGCGTGTTCTCAGAATAAGAAAGGCTTGGACATAAGGGAGTTCCAATAACTTGTTGCCAGCTTGACAAAAATCATACAAGTTCCTGAGAATGCAGGGGTCAAATGTTCCTTGCCGAGGCCAAGGCTTGCCGATAAGCGGGTAGGTTGGCCAGACCTCCTGGCAGTAAAAAGTTAGTTGTTTAGTTTTTATGGTACCTTTAAGTTTTAGAGTACGTAAATTGGAAATTAGGCATTTTAAAGGCGTCTTTTGGGAGTTAGAAAATACGTTTCCCATGACTGATTCAGGCAAGAAAAAAACCGGAGGTCCAGAAAAAAGTCGTCACTTATTTGTGGTACCACGCGGCGGCTACGGGGTTCCAAACCGTAAACTCCAGTCGTCACTGAGAGATTTACGAATGGAGTCTACGTGGGGTCAGTAACAGATTTGCCCGTGAAAGCGCAAGGCTTTAAGGGAAGTGAGGCATTCTTTCAGTGTGGGCGGTCCCAAAAATCTCTGCTTTGGGCTATCCGAACCCAAAGAACGTGAGAGATTTTGTGGGCGCAGGTTTGCCCAGAAAGAACCCTGCCCTGGGCGGTCCTAAGGACGTGAAAATGCACAGACCCACGCAGACGGGGAGAACATTCCACTGGGGCTGCCCAGTGCGAAAAGTTCCCCGGGGAGTGCTCACCTGAAATCAGTCTGGCCGATGCGGAGCGCAGGTGGCTGGCGACAGGAACGTCTTGGGAGAGGAAAAAGCTCGGGATTAATCCAGGATGTTATCTGGTTATCGGCGAGGAAACTCTGGGTATGTGGCCCAAGAGTCAGTTGCCTGCCGATCCGAGTCACGGCACCAAATGATAGAGTTATTTCCAAAAGATGAAAAATATTAACAAAAGATGAGAAATATAAAATAAAAAGCGGCCTTTATTCTGAGAACACGGAGAGAGATGACCGGCAACCCCACCGCTGGCGTCCGGCGATCTCTCCGGCGGACACGTGGCGTGGGGGCCTGTAAATAGCCTCGGTTTGGGGTGGAACCTAAGGCGGGCATTAGGGATACACAGGTAGCCCATTGGTCCTAGGTTTGGCGCCATATGTAAATTCCCAGGGGCGGGAAGATGGCGTCACAGGTAACTTCCTAGGGGCAGGGCAAGATGGGGCTTCCTGCTTCCGGCTGTGGCTTTCCTGGCTACAGTGTCCTGTCTGGGCCAAACCTTTCACTCGCGACAACATAAGTGACCTCTGAGGGCCTTAGGCTAAACGAGGCAAGCTACCAAAGATGCCACCATCCGAGGGGGTTGGAGCGGTGAAATTCAGAGACAGAAAGAAGAAGGCTGGGTGCCAGGGCCTGGCCAGAGCAGCCAGGAGCTTGTGTCTAATGGGGGCGGAGTTTCAGGTGGGCTGGGTCATAGTCACCGTTACAGGACAGCGTGAATGGCCGCAGTGCTGAGCTGTCCACTTACAAATGCCTTAAAAAGGAACATTTTATGGCAGGCCTTTTTTTTTTTTTTTTTGTCATCAGGAGTCGACCTCTAGACCTTGCGCTTGCCAGGCAGGCGCTTATGCCACTGAGCTAAATCCCTGGCCTATGGCAAGCCTATTTTATCACAATTTTCAAAAATAAGTAATTTTAAAAAGTAGTATAGCAGACAGTTCATAATGCCTGCTGCTTAGGCATTTGTGCTCAGTGAGCTCATTTTCAGGATAGCCCATTGAAAGGAATGATAGCGTTCTCCCCATTTTAACCTTTGGGGAGCTGAAGCACTCGTTCAGAGGTCAGCAAACGGATGACCTGAAGGCCAACTCTGTTCTGGAGAGAGTGGCTGTCAATAAAGTTTTATCGGCACGGCGTTGGGCAGCACTCTGGTTCACTAGGCGCTGGCTCTGCAGGTTTATATCCCGCAGCTGCAGGCGTGGGCTGCACAGGGAGGTCGAAAGAGTCACCCTCTGGCCAGCAGCACAGTTTGTGGGGCCAACAAAAAAGGAAAATGCAGGGCCCCCTCCTTGTCAGGGCAGCAGTTTGGAGCAGACACAGGAGACAGGGAAATAGGTATTTTTGCAAATGGAGGGGGACCGAGAGGCAGAGAGAGCCGGGGAGAGAGAGTAAAGAGGATTATGTGTCATGTACGCACGCCAACTGCCCGGGACGAATGTCATTGTTACGCACTGCCCATGTGGGCGAATAAAAATAGGAAAAGTTTAAAAGATAAAGAAAAGCTCGGCCGAGCTTGCACTGAGACACTTAACGACTCGCTCAAGGTCACACGGGGGGACTCATTACCCAGCTGGGGTTCAGGCCTGGCAGGGGCTCAAAATCGTGCTCTGGACCTTTTCCTCCCTCTCAGGGGCTCACATCCAGGACAGGGGAGCCATCGGAGGAACCCAAAGCATGACACTCCAGCGCGGTTTGGAAAACTACCAGGGCTCACCTGCAACCCGTGACCCAGGCTGCAAGGATACGTGACGTGTGCAAACAGGGATAGCGGACTGGTGCGTGGGTGTGCAGGGAGCCCTGCAGACACTCCCGGGCTTGCAGATGGGAGAGCACAGACAGGCCTGGGGGAAGGCCAGAAATCGCCAGGGCGCTAACAGTGGTGCTCTGTGTGGCTGCTGAGAACCCCCATGGAGCCCCCAGACCTACCCCGAACCTGTTCTTAGTCGACTTTAAAAATCACCAAGGTTGGAGGCTTAGGTTACCCCCGGGCCGGGCTGTGGGCAGCGTGATTACACCTGACCTCCAGCTCCCTCTCCCCGGGCCTTGGCCTGCAGATGCCCCAGCCCTGCCCTCAGGAGACGCCTTGGCCCTGGCTGCCCAGGCCCCACGTGCAGCCACCTCGTGAACAAGCTCCCTGGCAGCGTCCGTGCCGCAGTGACTGACACACTGCAGGTCTGGTGACAGTGACTCAGCGATTGATTTTTATTTTTCATCCTCACGTTTCACATGGTTTATTTACCTCTGCTCTTCAAAGCGAGGTGGGGGCACAGCCATCGAGGCCACTGATTCTATGGACGCGGCTGTCTTACCCTGTGCTGATCTCAGAGCTGGTTCCCAATCTGAAAGCTCGGAATTAGGCTGTGAATGCTACAGACTGCGGTTTCAACCTTCCTGTCCGCTTCCTGTCCCAACCAAGCCATAAAACAGCACTGCCAGCTGGGGGCAGGCAGGCGGCTGCGTGGAGGCTCTGTGTCCCTGTGGGTCCTGCTCTGGGTTTCGTGTTTTGGGGGTCCATGCTGGCTGTTTTCAGACAGGATCTCACTGGGTAGCTCAGGCTGCCCTCGAACTATGGCAAGTCTCCTGTCTCAGCCACCAAGCCCAGTTTATGGCCCCCCGCTTTTAGATCATACTTTGATTTCTGGGATCCTACATCACCTCTCTGAACCGCCCAAAGCCAACTTCCAGGATCTAATCTTTTGGGGGAAGATGGACCTCTGTTGTGTGTTGTTCTAGGACCAAGAGCCTGCAGAGAGGCCAGGGGGACAGTGAGGGAGAAGGAGCCTGTGTGGCTGGGTGGTGTCGACAGGGACAGAGGCGGGGCTCCAAGAGGGACCCCAGGGCAAGGGCCCCCCTTGTACTTCCGGGCCCCAAAGTTCGCAGTGGGCTTTTGTGCTTTATTTCCTGTAGCCAGTCAGTGTGGACCTGAAATATTCAGACAGGAACAAGGGCCTTCATGGCCTGTGAT